GCCCAGAACTATGCAGTGTGACAGATCGTTGCCTAGATGTTCAGACTCAACTCCATTTCAACTGTAAATTTCCACATACTTACATGAGACATAAAAAAAAAGGGAAAAAAGGAAAAAAAAAAAAAAAAAAAAAGAGAAACCTTCCAAAACCAAAAAGGTGCTCAAAAGCAATTACAAAAATTATCTGTCCTGATGCTTCCTCACACACAGCCAGCACTACTGGAAGGAGAAACACTATCAAGCACGCTGTTCCCTAAGCCATAGCATAACAGTCCTCAAAAAGATCAGGTTTTTTACTGCATTGCCCTCTTCCATCAGCCAGGACATTTATTTACAGAGATAGCAGGCACATATTAGAAGACTTAATTACATTAAATTTTTGCCCTGATGCAGTTGGTCAGCAGCCACCCGTACCGATGTAAGCCTCTGATATACAACAGGTGAACCAAAGCGAGGTTTGCCTTACCTGAAGAGTGTCAGAGATGAAGCATTGAATCCTTTCGCTGGAACTGGTAGGCAGACGCAGAGCAACGACGGGAGGCTACACCAAGCTGAAAAGCTTAACTTTATTGTGCATTTTTGGAACGGTACAACGCTCTCCCAACATCTGAAGGAGACACCCCTCCAACTAATTGCGTCTGCACTATACCACCCCTCATCTGTTCTCTGATCGTGATTTAAAAGTAATTAGTGTCTACGAATTGCACAGTGCAACGGAACCTAAATCTTACTTGATATCTCCACAGATAATGGAAAATTTTGTAAGCTTTTATGAAAAACATACAAAAATAGACCACCCCATTGAGCTCGCTTAGACTGGAAAGATCCATTTCTTCTCTGGGGAGAATCAGGTCTACCATGCCCACTGAGAGTGCAACCTGAATGTTAATGGAGATACTTTAGAGAGTGGCAGGCCGTGGACTATGAGGAGGAGTATGTCTTGACCTCAAAATGCAGAATCACATAAAGGTTGAGGCTGGAAGGGACCTCTGGAAATCATCTGGTTAAAATCCCCTGCTCAAGCAGGGCCACCTAGAGACAGTTGCCCAGGACTGTATCCAGACAGCTTTTGAATACCATGAAGGATAGAGACCCCACCACCTCCCTGGGCAACCTGTGCCAGTGCTTAGTGGTCCTCAAAGTGAAAAAGTGTCCCCTGGTGTTTAGGAGGAACGTCTTGCATTTCCATTTGTGCCCATTGCCTCTTGTCCTGTCACGGGGCACCACTGAAAAAAGCCTGGCTCTATCCTCTTGACACCTTCCCTGCAGGTATTTTTATATATATATATTAATGAGACCCCCCTGAGCCTTCTCTCCTCTAGGCTGAACAGTCCCAGCTCTAAACTGAGCTGGGGTATCAGTTGTACAATAAGATATCAGTTGTAAGATAAGATCTCATCAGCCAGCCACTGTGAGAAAAACTACATCCTGAATTTTTTTGACTCAGAGACCATCATGGAAAAAGGGCTTTTTTGTTCTAGTCTAGGGACCTTAAAATACTGTAGTCAACTAGACTGTTAAAAACTGCAGTTCTGAGAAGTCTGTACTATGTTGCTGTAACATCTTATTACATATTTCTGGACATATCTCTCCCCAAGGGCTAAACATCTCTTTTGGACTGGCTGAAAGAGCCAGCATGACAAACACTGAGGCTGAAGCCAGGACTTGTCCTTAGAGTAGAGGAGCTAGAGAGAGGCCTACTCTCTTGCTTTAAGGGATTGATTTCCTGGGAAACTGTATAAAGGTCAGAAGCACATTTTGCTCTATGTGATTGTGAAAAGCCTCTGGACACTGATGTTGCATAAATATTTACAACCACCATTACTAACCAAACCTGTTTCCAGCCCCTGCTCCTCCCAAGGAAGAAAACAGGATAATAAGGAAGAATTGACTTATGAAGAATAGCAGTGAAAGTCTAACCTGAAATCACTGATGGAAATGGCATACTTAACTGAACAGGAAGAGACATTATAAAAAAAAAACAAAATGAAGGAACATCTGTAATTTTCCAATGCAGACTACAGAAGACTGCAAGTCAGCTGCGACAAGAATGATAACAGCACCATGCTTTTGTTTTCTTTATTTTACCCTTGAGCAGATAACCTTTCATGTTTTGGTAGAGTAGACACATCAGCGATGATGTTTTTGTGATGTTGCAAAATTCCACTTTCTTCTCATCCCTCTGGGAACAAATTCATCCATGTCATTTAACCACAACAGAGCTTTATAAAGAACAGAAAGACCAGAGGCACGAGAGCAGTTCGTGAGGACCCAGATACAACAGTATCTATCGTCCATATCAAAAGCTAGCTGAGGAATTGTCAATAAAAGGCTATTCATAAGTGACAATGTGCTAATTTGGCATCAGAGAACCCCGGCAGAGATGACATTTGACTCGCTTACTTCATATTTTTAAGGTGATCCAGGAGTCAAGCAGGCAACTTGCAGCTCTGGAGTTGGGTGGCTTGCAAGCAGCTCAGATGTGGCCTCCCATCAAGTGTGCTGTATCAGAGGGTTAGTGGCAGGACTATGCTGGTGGTGAGCTGCTGGGTAACGCGACAGCACAGCTAGGGAAGGAAGTGAATCAGCAAGGACTGCTGGAGCAGATACTGAGTCACCTTGAGACCCAGGCACATGCTTAGGGGGGCAGCTGAACCCTGACATACAGTGGAAGCACTGAGATCTACGAAGAATGACTGTTTTTTCCTCTTCTCGGGACTACACCTACAGTTCCTCTTCCTTTTAGCTCTCAGAAGCATGTATTAGCTGTCTTAAGGCATGTGACTGTTTGCACTTCAGTGGGACCAGGGTGCCCAAACCCCTAAGGCACTTTTGAAAACATCCATAAACTGCAAATACATGGAAGTATGAACTAGATGTGATTAATATAATAGACATTCAAATTGTAAAGAAGAAACTCTTCTCAAGCTAAGCCTTCTCATGGAAGAGCAGAGCTGGTAGAGATCCCCAAAGCCTATGACATTTCAAGGTAAAGTTGAAATAGATTTAGCATAGTGATTCCCATGCTTTGACAGCAGAAACTCCTGCTGCCTTCCAGGCAACCAGAGTGTGATACAGCTGTATCTACTAGGTTTTGCACCTGAAAGAAGGTAGAAAGGATATGCATAAAGTGATATCACATTTTATGCTATGGAATTGTGATTCACTTAGGTTTAAAGAAATACACTTTGGTGTTATTGTAGGCCAGCCCATTATGAACATTAGTAGAACCTACATTGTGTATGCATCAGTGAAAACAAACAAGACAAACCATAGAAGAAACAGAAAAGTTTATGCTAAAGGCCGTTAAAGAAATTAACGAATGTTCAAGACATTGAAATTATTTATTTTGCATCAGTTTCACAACTATGACCTGAGATTTCCCCTACCTCCCTTTCTTGTCTCTGCTGCCCATTGAAACAGTATTTGGGAGAACATTTATTACCATGGAGCTGGCAAAAGGCCGATGACAAAAAGGCTGAGAAAAGGTTGACGGGCTAAATTTCATCCAGCAGATTCCTTTCCTGCATTTTCTCCAGTTCAACCACATATCAACACTCAGATTGGCCTACTCTGGAAATGCTTTTTTCACAATAACATGTTCCAGAACTTGTGCTCCTGAAGAGTGTAGACACTTCACTCACTGCATTTCTGTGAATCCAGCTACAGATATTTCTAATTCCCGAGTGCCCTACTCCATCAGACTGTTTCCAGTCTTTGCTCCACCATCCATGTGGAATCTCGGTCCAATGCAGAAGCTGAAGGCTCACCCAAATGCTTTGTTGTCCTGGTTTACTGCTGTGGTCAAGTTTTTAAAGTTAATGCCGTAGGATGCAAGTAGCATAACAGGAATAAGAAAGTGACAAGATTAGATATGGGTGTATAAATGGTAGCAGGAGTTAGACACTGCTGGGCCTTTATAAGTGGCATAGTTTATCACAAGATTTCTGAGAAATTAATAGAATCAGAAAAAACCCAAAACAGTTTTGTTTCAGGATTGACAAAAAGGCCAAATAAGCAAGTCTGGAATTCCACAGATCAAAAGATAGTTGTGCTTATACAAAAGATTAGTTAGAACAGGTACACTAGTAATTTGTGACAGGAGAAGTTCATCAGAATAGCATCTCTTGATCACGGCTGAAGATACTCAAGTCCCTTTCTAGATTAAAGCAACCCTTATTAACATTGGCCACAGGATAATGTTGGAACCACTGGCACTTAAAACTGCCTCCAGTCCTCCTTTTCTGCCTTCCAAGACATGGCAAAATCAAAATTCTCTAAGTGACCTGTCACATTTAGCTGATGACATTTAGTCTACATAATACTTGACAAAGGATGAGCCTACATAAGTTCTGGAGTAAGGAACAGCCTACCTACCTTGTCTCTCTTTAGTATTAGTGGACCTGTGATGTAGAAATTTCTTTTCAAAAATGGAACGACCCGTTTCTATTAGGCGCCTCTACAAGCTCTGCCTCATCGCCATCCGTGCACTGATGATCAGAGAGCAAAAGCATGTTACCACCTTTGGCAAGCACAAGCATACAGGTGACGGAGCACATTTGCAGCGACTGCCAGGTGTCTTTTCATTAACCCTCTTGGCAACATCCAATTTGTTTCCTGCACTAAGTGGCACTTGCTTTTCTGGTTGTGGTATTTGCAAAATACTCTACGTACAATCAGAAGCTGCAAGAATCTTGCACGCAAAGAGGAGGACAACAGCTAGTGTTGAATGTGGATGTCAAGCTTTACCTTGTATGTTGAGGTGGGAGGGTAGGTAATATCTCTGCAAATCTACTTTTGGCTAAGAGTCCCACTGGTAATTCCCGTTGGTGCCGCAAATGAAACGTTTTTGTTGTCATTGCTCAATTCAGAATAGAAGCATTTCAAGCTCAATCAGCAAGCTTTCACCCCACGTGAACGTATGTCAGGGCAGCTTCATTCCCAAGTGGCACATCCCTGGTGCACTAAAACCTACGAGACACCAAGGACCTGTTTCTTCCCTAGAGCGCTTCTGCAGGAGCTGTGTAGGTGTGAGATTCATCTGGTCCTTTTGCTTTTGTGTCTTTGTCATTGCAGATCTCCACATTGTGAAGTCCCGTCATACTATTTTTGTTGCCATCCATTAAATCTTCTGCCATCTCTGTGCTCTTCTTGTTGCACTGACAGAAGTCACTGGAGCTCTCTAGAAAGTTGATGTAAAATTTGATAACCAGGGCGAGCCAAGCCATCCCAAAGAGGATCCACAGAGAGATTACGTTCTTGTACCAGCCTGGGTAGGTGCGGTCTGGGTTCATCCCTACGAGAGAATCACCCAAAACTTTTCTAGAATGGATCAAGAGTGCCTCAAACAAGACATTACAAAGCAAAGACAGTGGAAATATGACCTAATATTAGTGATTTCTATATAAAGCACGAGTATGCCATCTACTCGGCACGTGCATAGATATGTTTCATGACAGGTCAGCAGCAGCAGCCTAGAATTCCCTGGGAATTGTAAAGATTGCCCATAAGAAAGAAAAATAAATTCCGAATTACATTTATGTCAAAGTGAAATTATTCACGTTTAAGCGCAGTTTCGCTTCTATACTTATCACTCAGCCCCACAGTGTTGCATTAGTATGTAACGGGGTCCCCTGCAGGCAGAGGTAAGCGGGCTTTACGTACTGGTGTACGTATCTTCTTAAGCCAGATATAAGCAAGAGAGCGAGTCTCTCGGAGCAGGAGGGAAGGGCCCTGAGCAGCCCTAAAACTTCTAAGACCAACCCAACCTTGGAAGGCAGCTTGAAATTATGCTGCCTCTGCCTGGTTGCTCAGCTAGGTACTTCGCGATCCCTTTGGAGCAAAGCTGTATTTTCAGTTGTATTTCCACCGTGTTTAGTGCAAAGAGGTTTCTACGCCTCAAGTTAAGTGTCAGCAGCAATATTAATAACACAACCAAAGCGAAGGAACGAGCTCAGCCCTAGGAAGGGACTGTGCTGTGTCTGTAAAGCAGGCTGGGGTACCCTTACAGACACAGGTAAGGTACAGGGTACAAATCAGCGGCAGCAAAATCTTTGCATGGGCTTTCTCTCTACTGCTTCTGAGCTCTCATGAGTTAGTTTCCTTACCTTAGGAAGGTTTGTCACTTTATAACAGAATACCTGAAGCGCAGCAGATCTTACAGAACAACTGATGATTTCAGGACAGAGTGTGAGGAGTTAACATGTATGAGGTGGTACCTCCATGAATCCGGAGGCCACTCTCCACACCATGTTCCAGTGGCAAGTACATGTAGCACCAGGTTGAAATGAGACATCCATAAGGGCAAGTCTTTAGGTATTTATGATCTGTGCCTGGTTGTACAAGAATACTGTCCTGTGAGTACCTGCACAGACTAGCAGTTACCAAATAGTGGTCTATGAACTGTTACTGTCTGCAAGATTGGGATTAGTAGTAACTGGTCAGTGGAGCCGTATTAAACAGCAAACCTTTACATCCATTTACTTGGTATTATTATATATTATATAATACACATTGTACGTGTTTTTAATATAATGGGACCACAAGGCATTTTGAGGTTGTCACTAAGCCACTGGTAAACGTTTGGAAGCTACCAACCACCTCCGTGATTGGTGTAACGACAATTACTTTTTGGGCTGGCTTTCTACATCAAGGTGAGCTTCAACCAGGAAGAGTATTAAATTCACCCTTCAAACAAGCACCTTTCACCAATGCTAAATTCAAAGGTTTAAAAACTGTTTGCTTTAAACAATAAATGAAAACAAGAGGGAAGGGCTATTTGAGCCTTCCAAGGAGAATGCTTTATCCAAAGAGATCATCCCATAGGTGAAGTCTTGCGGATGAGAAGATCAGAAGAAGTTTAGGACCTACGTGGCACCTCGAGTCCAATAGACGGGCTAATTGAACATGTAAATTAACATCTCTCAGGGCCAGTATGAGAAGCCACATCAATATTACTAAGTTATTATATACATTAAAACAGGCTCGGGGCCGCTCTATGACTTCAAATCCAAGTGCCATAGCCTGGATTATATTCCCCCAAAGCAGAGCAGCTGTGTCCAAAGGGAACATCGGGCATCACTCCTGGCATATGACATCCCCTAGAATTTACCTGGTTCAGAACAGCACCAGAGACAACACTAGCGAGGAAACAGCATGACAGTCACTTGAACCCATGCCCTGGCCCTGCTTATTTTTAAGTTGAGACATAAACCACAAACACAGGATTGTAAGGCCAGAATGGTTTGGCCTCCACATACCACAGGTCACTGATGTATTCGGTTGTTCCCATACTGAACCTAGCCTATCTATGGCAGTATCCCAGTTACAAGATACCACATAGGTGAAGGTATGCCTGGGAGTGGGAGGTATACTAGTGAAGAGCACCAAAATTAGTGCTCTTCACACCACAGGGTGCAGCATCATCTATAAAATCAGCACAGGAAAATGCTGAACTGTCTAGCTTTTGTTAAACTCCATTGGGCTACCCCTACCCAAGCTAACTTGATTCCAGCTCATTTAAGCGTGCCTACACAACCTCTAGTCACAACTTCAATGCCTTCTAGACAAGGCCTAAGGTGACCACCGCTAAGTTTTCTAAGCATCAAGAAAGCACTAAGAAGAAAAGAAAATAAAGAACCCACAATAAGATGGTTTAGTCTTTCTGTCTCCCAGGGATTCAAGGGTGCATGTGTTTCTATAATCAATTTGTTTTTAATGAGAAAGTCTTTATCAAAAAGGTGTGTCCTGTGTTTCAGCAAATGCATCAGGCATGGGTCCAAACCCATTTCCTCTGGCAAAGGGTTTTGGCAACCAAAACTAGGCTATGCCTGGTGCCTGACAGTCTACACCTAAGTGACTTAAGCTGCCTTTTAGAAAGCTGTTGTCTGGGGTTTTGACAGAGGAAGTGGTCACTGTCTGTTAATGGTAATGCAGAGTAGCATCTGCTTAAAACTAATCACTGCCGATTCACTGGAGCTCATCAAGTGCACCGTCAGCAACTGCTGTGATTAAAAACATAGCACTCCAGTCTGGTGGCATAGTCATTCAAGGGACAGACCACCTGCACGCTGGAAGATTACTCATTGACTGGAAAAATGATTTCTTTGCTCTTCTACAGGTGGCATCACTATATCAGAAATCACGCCTTCTCCAACCCGTCAAATGCCTGCCACAACGTAGTTATCATCAAAGTCTGTGGATTGCCAGTGGTGTAAAGCTGCCGAGTTGGGAGCTTCGTACGCCACACGTTTGGCTTTGGTGTTTAGCAGGTGAAAGCAATGAAAATGAGAACTACTCACCAATCACGTAATCTCCGAACCCTATAGTGCTGAGGGTAATGAAGGAGTAGTAGAAGCCTTCTTCATAAGACCAGCCTTCTTTGTCAGAGAACAACAAGGGAGGCAGCAGGAGGAACAATAACAAGCCAGTTACCAGCGCACAGGTCTTAATCAGGAGGGAAGCTTTTTTCTAGTAAAAGAGGGAAAAAAAAAAAAAAAAAAAAAAGAGACTGTCACAAGAAGGATGTCAGGGAAAGTCCAGCTCAGTTTCTGGCTGAAGATGATCCTGGACTCCATAAAAGCCCACAAACATTCGTGTCATTCCACTAGAATAAACAGGGTGGCTCTCCCAGCCAACACAAACTGGGCATCACCTTCACGAGTCCTAAATTCATGCCAGTTTAAAGCCTATTCCACAAATGTTCCCATGTAACTTACACAAGCAATCCTATGACTGATGATAAGCAGACCAGGTATTCCAAGACTGTGCATGGCTCTAAGGCTCTGGCACTTCTACTGCTGTAGGGGAAGCCATTCATCACAGAAGTTCCCTCAATTAATAAACAACCTTATCTGACACCTCATAGGGATGTCATACACTAAATTTATTTGCTTCCAGTTATTCCTGAGTATTTTGGCCAAGTAGGTAGGCTGTCCTTGTTAGTCAGAGGATCCCAAACACCAGATAATGCCCTTTATGTCTTTTCTTTCCTGAGCTTGAGGGTGAAGCATACCTGTCCACATTGCTTACCTGCCAGTTAAACACCTCCTCTAGGTGATGGGCGCAATGCTGAACCCCCAGCAGCATCAGCTGCCCAATTTCGTTCAGGAGTACAAGGTTCAAGGGGATCCCAAAGAGTGCAAACAAGATGCAGAAGATTCGACCAGCCACAGTGCTGGGGCTCAGGTTCCCATAGCCTAGGCAGGGAAGGAATGAAGTGTTAAATCTAAAATATTCTCTGCTTGCTCTCCTCCTCTGGAGGGGTGAGCCTCCATCTTTTACAAACATTAGAGGAGAAGGTCACTGCTCCAAAACGACCTTTTTTATAAATAAGTTACATCCATTGTTTGTCATATCCTATCGTAGGCTGGAAAATAACATTTCTTTCCCTGCCAATTTTGTTTAGTTCCTTTTCTATTTACCAGTGAATTTCCTCTCCCCTACCCACTGCCCTGGCTGGGATCTGACGTAAATGCAAAACTTCCGTTTAGTTCAGTTTTTGTAAGCATTGTTGGCATTGGCTTTGCTGGTAAGTGATCCTGCATAGCTGTCAGATGGTCTCTGAATCACCAGAAGAGCGTTTCAATTATAACAACCATTTTCTACCTTTGTCCCACAGGACTAGTGAACTTAACCCTGCCTCCTTGCTTATACCCCTCTTTCGTGCCACAAGTACCAAATGCACCTTACGCTTGAACTATCAAAATGTTTGCCTAGAGTCAATAAACCTGGAGAAATTATATTTAACCCAAATTAAAAAAAAAAAATTGAAACGTTGCCTTTTTCTGCTAATCATATGAACTGGTCTAATAAAAGGCACTGCCCTGCAAGCACAGCCTTGCTTGTATCCTTAGACCGTCACGGCTTCGACATCACTGCTGCAATATTTGTCCTTACTCCCCAAATTCTCTTTCAAAAATATCCTGGAAATTCGCAGACTCGCGCTTCTGTAGTTTCAAGCATTTTATACCACAGGAAAGTCAGATTTAACTTTGGTTTATTTCACAAGATGCTTTTTAAGACAGGGGAAGAACTAGCACATGACAAGCATTTCCACTTAGGCAGAGACCTATGGCCTTGACTACATTTCAGAATCACTTCCACTCATTAAAGACTCACACATCAGTCCATGTACAAGATTGACATAACCTGGCAAAGCTTATCTTTCCACCACAAATAATACTATCTCCTCCCAGCAACACCCAACTGTTGGCACAGCGCAAGCACAGAGATGCTCCTGCCACCGACCCCTTGCTACCATGCTTGTAGGTGCCATAGCTCCAGGGCACATGAGCAGCTCCCAGGAGAAAGGGGCAGGTCCAAGGGCTGGGCTCTGAGGGAGAGATAAGCGAGAGCCCAAACGTCCACCGTTGACTAGATGGAGTCCCATTCCTTCACCAACCTCTGCCCCACACCCCCCTGCCGTAAGCCACTGACCAACAACGCAGAAAGGTGCGTGACTGCGAGCTTGGGATATCTGCACATTTCATGCCAAGTTTTGCGCTGCTGAAAACCTCTCCCCACCACGGACGACTTTGCAAACTGTTAATTGTGCCCATGCACTAACTAGCGAACGACCCCCAGGAAAAGGTCTGGCAGCAAACTATCTCACAGTGCGTATACAGGCTGTTGTCATCTCACTCCTACCCCCACGAATTCGAAATGTTACTATCCGGAGGACTTTTGCTCCAATAATTTTAGGCTTGGATGCTTTGTGAGACCCTGGGTTTAATGTAGTAACACAATATACCTCCAAAGCAATGGCCCCAGCAGCCTGTCCCTGGGAGGGGGCAGAGCATCCCCCGGGAAGAACGGGATGCTGTTATGTAACTAGAGATTGTTTTGAAATACAGGCAAACAAAGGGGCTAAATTAAGACTGTACAGCAGCCTTAATTCCAGCGCTGTGCTCCTCGCTTATGAGCAGCCCTGCGATGATTACGCTCTTTTTCCCCCCAACGAGTAATTGCTGACTTCCGCCAGCTTTCACCATTTCTCGACCAACAGATGTGACAAATGAGACACAGGCAGGCAAGCACATCTGGTAGATGATCCCATCGAAGTAAATTTAAGGGATATGTGCCTGGCATGATCCGTTTCGCACTGGCTGTGCCACTTTTTGGTGGATTTGCTCCAGTTTTTCTCTTTTATGGAATTAGGGTGTTTTGCAGGCTGGTCTGGACCTGGGAGAAAGGGCATTTACTGTAAGGCTGGAGTCTAAACACGAGTCACTTTTATGGCCAGCCATTCCCAAAGCTTTGGTTTTTTTTTAATCTCCTTCTTTCCCTTCTATATCAAGTTTAAAAAGACTGTGTAATGGCTTGGGCAATTATTTCTACCACAGCTTTCCAGGTTATCCAGTCTCTGGAGAAAAACATCAGATGAAAGAGGAAGAAAGGTCCATGATCTCAGGTCACTGTGTGAAGCACAGCAGCCTTCAGGATTTTGGAACCCCGCACAGCGCTGACTAGAGAGCATCTAAGGTTAAGCTGTACATTACATTTAATTTACAGCAGCAAATTCAATTATGTAAGCAGGTCCAATAAGCCCAGTACACTGAACACCAGATCTGCTTTGCATATGATTTATCTGGCTACCTTTTCCCCTTGGGCTCAGCAGCTCAAGACAATTTCCTGAAGATTTGGTGAGCAGTCGCTGTAAATATGCCAAAAAGCCACGTCCCATTAGCTTTTTATACAGGATATGTTTGATCAAACAGCACGGGAGACTTTAGATTATGCAGAATGGCAATTTATGTCTGGCTGACGACACGCCCTTGCCTTTGGACTAGACAAATTGATGCCAACCTAGTTGCATAT